TTTTACGGTAAATCGGCTTTTGCTTTCTTATTTAAGTAAATCTATACTTACGAGACGTACGTATAGTTAATCTAAGTTAAAACAAACTACGCTTCCTCATACACGTGCGCTAACGTGTAAGCCGAAGTAGTCGGCACGTAGCAAGCCCATTACACATGACGCTCTTCCTGAGCACTCACCTGGCTCCTTGGACATGTCTTCCGTCCCTGCCTTCGCTTCTGAGGTGCAACTCCGCATCCACTGCACTTATCCCTCACGTCGCCCTTCCTTGGCAGCTGCTGTCCACGCCCTCAACCTCGCACGTCGTCGCCCTCGTCGACCTCGGGTCATCAACGCGGCTCCAATCTTTAACTTGTTCTCACACCATGTACGCCACACCATGTGTACCTATATCGCAAAAGGATTCACCCAAGCCTGGGTCAAATACCGGATTCGATCCCAGCACCCGGCCACAACCTCCTGGCCAGTCGACCAGCAACCGGACTCGAGACAGTAGATAATATATTAAATCTGATATATATTATTTTGTAGAGTTATGTATAGAAAGGTTAATTGTGGGAATTGAATTAAATGTTAAAAAAATATGGGGTGCATGTTTATTAATGAGTTTATGTAATGGGTTTGTTTAAAGTGTAAATTTATATGTATTGAAAAGTAAAAAATCGTTTTGAGAGTAATTGGGCGGGGTTTACATGTATATAAGTAGTGAAGTATGTAGTGATGGAGTGTGTAATAGGATTGAACATCGGAACAATAAAAAAAGGTTGGAAGAAAGTGTAGATAAAAAATTGTAGTGTATATAAAGACATGAAAAAATAGATAAATATTATGTATATAGACACAAACGTTTAATTATGTATTTAATAAAGTTAAGTGCAAAGGTAATAAATATGAATTTATGGTTGCTATATAAAAAGAATATTTAGGCGGTGTTTGGATCCAAAAATAAATCACTATTTAAGGCCTCAAATCGCGATTATTGGCTTATCGTGATTTGTCGAAAAATTGTGTTTCCAAACAGGACAGCAATCTTCAGAATCAAAGTGGAATCTGTAAATCGCAATCTTGGGGCAAACATGGCGCCTCCAAACACCGCACAAAAGATCCTGATTTAGATCGCGATTTCAAACTTTCTACTCTGACCAGAAAGTTTTTATCGCGATCTTCCCTCGTGGGGGCGCCTAAACATGGCGTCTGAGTGTCTGTCGATCCGCGTTGTCACGGGCAGCGCAAAAGCGCCTGAACACGGGCTTTGTCATGCGGTAGCTTCGGAACATGCGTGTCGGATTTCCTTCAATGAGCTCAG